AAATTTCAAATATTAAATGGAACGATAAAATAACGTTATTAACCGGATACTGGCCATTTTAAATTTTCGATTCTGTTCGGGAACTATAAAATTTGATTTCGTTTCTGGTTCTGGTTCTGTTCCTGTCAAAATTTCGTTGGTTTCAGGTTTTCGTTTTCGTTCCTTGAACCGGTTCAGAGCCCTGTAGGAGAATGAGCCTAATATCGTCTTGACTATCGACAAAGACATCTGCTATCGTCGTTAGGGCTGCACGATTATGACAAAAATCATAATTGTCGATTATTCCTTTGAAATTGTAATTGCGATTATTAATTTGCGATTAAATGAATGATGTTTACACCTTTGTTTGAAGCAACTGCATGCCATATTTTTATATGAAAATAAACAAGCTGAAAACACTAACTGAAAAACTTTTATTGCTTCCTATAGTATTAAGTCTCAAATGTCAACTATACATCAGATTAGTTTCTCTTTAAATAAAAATGTAAAAATATGCATGGTATTATAATGTTATACTAAAACTAAAATTAAAACAAGATAACATGTAGAAAGAAAAAAAAGCATCTTAAGCATGCAGAATAACATAAGTGGACTTTTAACGATTAATTGCTGCTTTGAACGATTATGTAATTGTGGCATCCGTAATTGTGATTAGAAATGTGATTAATTGTGCAGCCCTACACCACGTGACATTTTACAAGTCTTGTATAGTCTTGTTAAAAAGGTCAAATTATGCTGTACTTATTGACCTTGACATGAGGGGTCTGCACTGTTTCTCTCTGTGATGTCATTTCCTGTTTTTATGTTTTTTTACTGCATGTTTCTGCCTGTTGGTTGCATGTTGCCACAAAAAGAATTATTCTTCGATGTTTTTTTTTTCACTGTAGTATCAGAATGGTTCAATCACCCTGACATTGATTTTGCCTCCTCAAAAAAATAAAAAAAATAAAAGTGATTTTTAATTGTGTGATGAATCAAATGTCATTCTGCAAAGAAAATGCATATACATACATATACAGTGGGTACGGAAAGTATTCAGACCCCCTGTGTGTCACTTAATTGACCCATCTAACGATGTTTTTATTTTCTTCCTTCAGCTCTTCTGAAACACTGGGGTTGTTGGTGTGGCCAAATTTTCCCTGGATTTGATTGGTAAATTCAGAAGACTGAAGCCCAGGCTCACAGTCTACCTTTCACGGAGGCCCAGCCGTGAGAGGACAGAAGAAGGCACGTGGCGAATCATGACTGCCGACAAAGAGAAAGACAAGGAGAGGGAGCGGGACAGGGACAGAGAACGTGAAAAGCGTGACAAAACACGTGAAAGCGAGAGCTCGCGGCCTCGGCGCAGTTGCACACTAGAGGGCGGAGCTAAGAACTATGCAGAGAGCGAACACAGTGAAGACGACGACAATGAGACGCCTGGGGCCGCCACCGCCGAGGAGGCCACCAAAAAGAGCAAGAAAAAGCTGCCCAAGAGGAAGTCGCGCTATGAGCGAACGGAGAACGGCGAGATCACTTCCTTCATTACGGAGGATGATATTGTTTATAGACCTGGCGGTGAGTTTCGGTTGTACAATACTTTTGTCTGTCTGACTCGTAGTTTTCATCTCCGCTGGAGGAATTTGAGCCGGTTGTCATAAAATAAGCATGCCGTTTGGACAGCAAGTATGTATTTGGCAATATTTTGTTAGTTTTGCTGAAAATGGTGCTTCAGCGTAGCATAAACATGTCACTGCATCCACAACTTGGATGAGAAGAAATGCATTTTCATTTGGCTGCTGTGCTTGACTAAATAAATTCACTGCTTCTTGATGAAAATGCAGAAGGAATCAGTGTGATGATATTTGAAACAGTCATATTTTTCACACTTAGCTTTCCAAAGCACACACAAGATTATTGTTTTTCTTTATATTTTTCAGTGAGCGGCAGAAAAAGTGAAACGGTCCACATTAGGTCTGTATTAGGCGCTGAGATTGAGCCTAGACCAGAGCAATAACCTTTTCCTGCGCTGTAAACATGGCCTCTCTTTCACCTGCTGTTTAGAAATTGGTTGTACATGAGGCTGGGGGGAAATGTCAACACTCCGTCGGAGGGCAAGGCACCGCTGCGTAGCGCAGCTGCGGTAGTCCTAAATCATCCTCACCGTGTCTTTCATTTATTTAGCAGCAAAAGAAAGGTCAAGCAGTATGCTTAGTTATTTAATGTGAAGACATCAGATTATAGCCAATGTACAATTTCCAATCTCGTCTCTTCACCCCCTGTCTTCTGCTTAGAGATGTGTTTGCTCAGAGGGGGAAGGTGGGGAATGGCATGACGTTTGCCCCCCTCCTCCTCTTCCTCCAGCCGTTGCCCCAGTGGAATCGGGTTGGAGGCATTATCTGCTGAAGGTCCTTGAAAACACAGTTGCTGAAGCTCTCTTTCAGTAATAACCCAGCAGACCCCTTCCCTGCTCTGTTTTGGAGAGTACTGCTGCCGTTTATTTTCATATAAAAAATATGGCATGCAATTGCTTCAAACAAAGGTGTAAACATCATTCATTTAATCGCAAATTAATAATAGCAATTACAATTTCAAAGGAATAATCGACAATTATCATTTTTGTCATAATCGTGCAGCCCTAATATATATATATATATATATTTTTTTTTTTGTGTGTGTTTTCTCCCTCCTTCCCCCTGATTATTTTATTTATTTATTTATTTTTTTGGACAAAAATGTAATACTAAAACTCTAAATTAAAACTATATTATTTTTTTTATTATTATTGTTGTTGTTGTTATTATTATTATTACTAAATAAAAATGTTTAAAAATATTTTTACAGTAAATAAAAAAAAATCTGTGAGCCGAGCCACTCTGAAACACTGAAAACACCAGATCATGTAAAATATGCTTTTCACACATGTAAAAGACGTGCTTCACTTTGAAACACTCAGCACCATATCACGATTTCGGCTTTATTTCATGTAATCTTCTGGGTCTAGGCGTATATGCATGCATTCAGTTTGCGGTCAGTTGCTGCAGCCTTATTGCAATCAGATTTGAATCGGGAGGCTTAAGTAGACACAAAGCCTGTGCTGGATTAAACTCTACTAAATGTTAAATCCTTTTATATTTGTCTAGTGACACACAATATGTAAAACCAGTAATAACCCAGCAGACCCCTTCCCTGCTCTGTTTTGGAGAGTACTGCTGCTCTGTTTTAGATAAGACTGAATTGAATCACATGTCTGAGGCATGTTAGTTGATTTTGTCAGTGCTGCAGTGGAGAATAGAAAGGGATGTCACCATGTTTTGAAGATGGCTGCTTTAAAGCACCTTTGTTGTTTAAAAAAAGGGAAGGAAAAGATCTTAATCCTTAGATCCCTAAAATGACAAACATCATCTGTTGTGGTGGAATTAAGAATTTGCAATATGTTGTTATACAGCAAACCTTTCAATTGACTTTCACTGTCCTATACATCATACATAGATCATATAGCTGATCTGTTAATGTTTTAGAGACATGCGCTGCTTGCCATTAGGGTTGTGACGGTTAGGAAATTTTCCCACCGGTTAATCAACGTGTGACAACACCGGTAATACCGGTATCACGTATAACTTTTATTAACAAATAAAAATAAAAATACACCATGTTATAGGGCAAGCTAATATGCCTAATATAAAATAACAAATAACTTGCATAAAGTTTAATAGGTATACAAAAATCGGGAGGCTTAAGTAGACACAAAGCCTGTGCTGGATTAAACTCTACTAAATGTTAAATCCTTTTATATTTGTCTAGTGACACACAATATGTAAAACCGGCCACCCTTGGAGTGGGTATTAAAAATGGCAAGAGGCCAACAGAAAAAGAGAGAGTGTAATCAAAGTAGAGAACTGAAACAAGACAATAATTGCTTTTGTGGCTCGAGAGAGTCGGCCGTGTGCACGTATGAGGCTAGATAAGAGGAAGTAATATTAAAAGCCTACACGGAGATCACCCTTATACTTTTTTGCCTGCTACCGTTTTTATAGCAAGCTTGGCATGCATTTATTAGGTTGTCTGAAAAAAGCAAATAAGGCACATAGTCTTGTCGTTGGAGAGATGGAGTGTGCTTGAGTAAGGTAAGGAAGGAAGGAATGGAAAAGAGGAGTGAGCAGATTGTGATATGGATGGGGGGAGAGAGATGGAGAGCCATTGGTATTGCAGGCAGGGAACGCTCAGATGGATGGAAGAGTAAAGCAGCTGAATCGATCAGGCCTTTGAGTGGCGTTCTCGTGTCCAGGCTCCCTGTAGCTTTGCGGATATTCGCTACACAAAGGCAGCTTATGGATCCAGCCGGGAGATTATACACACATGAGATCAATACTCAGGCCTCTGCGAGCTGGCCGTGGCTGTCTGCAGTCCGTCTTTACAACCCGGAGTCACACCGATGTCCTTGTACTGTGACGGCAATTTGTCTCCCTGACTGCCAATTGGCTTTTAAAATGGAGAGCTCATCAAGCGGGATTGGCTGGATGAGTACCACTCTCACCCGTGTGATGAGAATGCTGACAATAAAGAGAGGTGAATGTCCACAGTGGGCTCAGCTGAGGGTTGGGGTGGGCTTTATGGTGCTCATTATAGCAACTTATTAAACCTAGCAGGCTGCCTAGCTAGAGAGCATTTTAAGGCAGCATAGATGCGCTCTTGACACGCAAAACAGTTCCAAAAGGATACCGGCATGATTATTTGCTCCAAATTAGTACCTTATGTGTTATCAGGTGACATTAAGATTTTTTTTTTTTTTATTAGTCCATATTGGATATCAGCAGATATTGGATGATGAGTTGTTGTCATTTTTACCTTTATTGTCATCTAAGGCTCACAGGTTAATCTTTAGAAGTTAGATGTACTTTCAATGTCATTATTATTATTACATGGTTATTAATGTAAGTTAAATTCTTTCACACTTTAAAACAAAACATTTAAAATAGTATTTTGCAGCATTTTTGTTTTAATAATAACAGCAATAAAAAAATAGTAATAATAAATTAGAAATTAGAAAAATAATAAATATAATAATAAGAATAAACAATTAAATTTTTTCACCTTTTTACAAAACATTTAAAACAGCATTTTTATATTAATACAATTAAAAACTAGAAATAATAATAATAAATGTAAGTTAAATTATATCACTTTTTACAAAACATTTTATTTCTAGTTTCATTTTAGTAATATTAATGAACATGGAATAAATTATTTATTTTCAGTGAATTATAATTAAGTATGGTATTGCTGCTTTCCTAACCAATGTCTAAGGCAATCCCAGAATGCATTGTGGTCAGTGAAAAAAAAATATATATATTGGAGTTGCTGTGTGTTTAGAGCTTTCCAGTTCACTCACTTGTGAGGTTCCTTAGGCATTTTGGAATGGAGCTTATGGTTGGGGTTATGATTGAGGGTGGAGGTCTAGATGTTGAATTTACGAAAGGCATGAAAGTTCTTAAATGAGTTCGTCCCTGAAGATGTCCTCTATTTCTCTCTCTCCTGGCTGCCTGTGGGTGTCTGGACAGCTGTCACCTAATTACGGAGACACCCAAAGCTTGCAGTCTTTTCCGTAAGGCTGAGATCTCCACCGGAGCTTGAACACGTCGTCCTCATGTCCACACAGAGCTGTTTGGATTCCTCGTCAGCTCGCTAATGTCATTTCAGGACTGGTTCTTTGTCTGCTTGCAATTTTGCCTTATTAGCAGCTCGTCGTACATTTCGTGTTTGTCAGTGGATACAGTAGAGAGAGGTTATAGAAACAATAATAGGCGAGTATATCTTCAGATCTTTCCCTGGAACACAGTCAAGAATGAGGACAATAGACTTGGCGGGTTGAAAATGGACATGCACCACCTTCGCAAAGAGTGCTCAGGTCATCGCCGAAATAAACTTCTCCTCGTCCTCCTCCGTTTGTTGTCAGAGGGGAGAAACCAGGCTCTCTCTTGGCTTTGAGTCATGTATTATTCAGTGAGGTGAGACTAACAGCATTTGACCACCTGAGTGAGTCATCAAGTAGCAGTATTCATCTCCCTGTTGCTCTTCTGAAGAGACAGCAACAGTATCACCCCATGTTGAGACAACTTTTCCATGCATGTCTTCCACTCTGCTACCAGCTGTCTCAAGATTTAGACAGACAGAAAGAGAGATGGGGGATGAAAAGCAAGCGGAGGCAGAGCAGGTGACAAGGAGACCCTCAGATCCATGTCTCGAAGGGGACAACAGAAGCTTTGCTGTCTAAATCAAATCATTAAATGCCTTTAATTAAAACGGACACATTTTACACTCATGTAGCATTTATTTTTTTCCTGAGGGCCGCTCATGCTATGGGTTCTTGTGCCAAAAATATCTTTATTTAGTTTATGTGACCCTTTGTCTGATGCATTATGCTTCGGAACCACATTGGTTATCTTGTCAATTATATTTATTTATTTATTGTTTTATTGTATTGAACAGTTTTGTATATTTATTTGCACATCCTCATTTCTTATATTTTAGGTTATAATCTAATGTATCTGTAGCGTTTAAAATGACTGATATTGATG